TTCCACGCCTCCTGCGAGGAGGAGGAGGAGGAGGAGGAGGAGGGAAGGGGAGGAGGAGGAGGAGGAGGAGGAGGAGGAGGGAGGAGGAGGAGGAGGAGGAGGAGGAGGAGGAGGAGGAGGAGGAGGAGGAGGAGGAGGAGAGGAGGAGGGAGGAGGAGGAGGAGGGAGGAGGAGGAGGAGGAGGGAGGAGGAGGAGGAGGAGGAGGAGGAGGAGGAGGAGGAGGAGGGGTGCAGTCAAACGAGCGAGACCGCGGACTAGACGGCGGGCGGGAAGGGAGCCACCGTCGGCCGCGCAGGATGGTGCACGTCCCCGCCGCCGCCGCGGAGGAGGCGCGCGGAGCGCGAGCTCCTTGCGCGGCGAGGACGCAGCCCCAAGAGGGCCCCAAGAGGGCCTTCGGGAGACCCCAAGACGGCTGTCAGAGTCTTCGTCCTCCTCCTCCGCCTCCTCTGCCTCGTTCGGTCGTTGCCAAAGTGTCCCTGGCCCAAGGTGTCCCCAGGATCTCCAAGGAGGCCCCCACGGCCTCGGCACCCCTCAGAAGGCCCAGGGGGGGCCTTCTCCTCGCTCGCGGGCTCGGCGAGATGCTTCTCTGGGTCGCCGGCGCGGCGCTGCTCCTCGCGCCCTGCCGCGCGGAGGCGCGCCCGGAGGGGCGCTGCGCCGCGGGAGGCTGCGCGGCCGCGGGCGCGGAGGAGGGCGAGGACGTCGGGCTGGTGCAGCACCGCACCGCGCAGGCCGGGCGCGGCGGCCGTGGCGGCGGTGCTCTGGGGGCCAGCGGGGCTCGGTGGACGAATCCCTGCGTCTGCCCCGACTGCAGCACGGGCTACATGGGGACGTACGAGTGCGACGCCCTCGGCTGCAGCTACCAGTGTCTGTGGAGCAGCGGCCCGCAGGTGAACGTTCCCTGCGGCGCTGCCCCCGCGTGCACCTGCTCCGACAACGCCACGGGCTATTCCAGCTATTCGAGGGGCTTGCGTCGATTTGCCGACCTCTGAACGAAATCTAGGCTGCACGAAATGCCCGAGAAGGGCGAAGCTCAGGAGGACGACTGAGAGCGATGCGATGCCCGGGAGGGGCAGTTAGGCAAGGATGGTTCGACCAAAAAGCAAAAGACACCACCCAATCTATGGCCCTCCATGCTGCGCTACGGCCATCAGGTGCCGTAGCGTATACCGTGCAAAAGCTCACGCTGGGATGCATGGTCTATGCTACGGCCCGTGGGGCCGTAGGTGGGGTGGTGTCGTTTGTTCTTTGGTCCACTGGCGCAGGGTGAGCCCGCAAAGCAGGAGTCACGGCGGGCCTCAAGGGGGGGGGGGCACCACGCAGTTCTGCCAAGCACGCGTCACCGAGCCTTTGGCCTGGCCACACGCGTGATCGAACACTTTGGGCCTTCTCTTGTCGCCCATCGTGGAACCATGCAGGGCCTTCGAGCGAGGGCCTCGCGATCTCTCCTGGGGGCTATCTTGGAGTCCTCTCGGGGCTCTTTTGCTGTCTTAGGGCTCCCTTGGGGCCTCCTGGAGCCTCTTGGGCCTCTTGGGGCCATCTTGGCTTCCCTTCGAGGGTCTTGGGGTCGTTTTGGAGGCCTTGGGGCCGCGTGGGGTGTCGCGGGGTTGGAGCCTGGGCCCATCTTGGGGCATCTCGGACCCTCTCGGAGGTATCGGGAAAAGAGAACGAGAAGGCACAACTCATGGGAAACAACATAATTTATCTTTCAATGCTTTTGGGTGTCTGGGCTACCTCCAAGACTCTAAGAACATTCTTGGTGTCGCTTGGGGTTTCTTAGTGTCTCTTGAGTATGCTGGTGGCAGCGCCGAGTAGGACGCTCGTGTAGGTAGCGACCCTGTGTCCGCTGAGCGTGATCTGCCTCGCGAAAATAATATTACTTGAGTTCTTCTTGAGGCCTCTTGTGCGCGTTGGAACCCCTGTTGAGCCGTCGTTGAGGGCATATCGGACATCTTGGAGGCGTCGGAGGCTGGATTCGATGGCTCTGAGGGTCTAGGAGATGCGCTGGGGAGCTCGCCCCCTATTCCGCCCAGGTCCCCTCTAGCGGGAGCGTGGACCTTACCGGAGTGGGAACATGGGGAGGGGGACAGCCAACCATCTCGCACGCCTTTTCACATCCGGCAAGCGGGCGTCGGCGGATTTCAAGTGCAGCCCGAGCTCAAGCGATTATTGTCCTCCGTCCTGCCTCTACTCCGATGGGCCGAATGTGAATGCACCCTGCGGCACTCCCGAAGGCATGGACAAGCCGTGCTGCAGCACGTGTGACTGCGGCTGGGCGTCGGGTGGGTCCACGTGCGGCTCCAACGACGGGTCGACGTGCTGGCAGTGCTGCTGCAGCCGCTAGTGGGCCTCGTGCCCCGATCCCTCCCCTCTCTCCCCTCTCCTCCCGGCCGCCTGCCTCCGTTCCGAAGAAAAGCGCTCCCGCCCGCGCGGCACCTCCCGGCCACCGCCAGGGCACCGATGGAGCGCCCAACAGAAAGCTGGGAGATTGATGGACCTCCTGCCCTGACGCGTCGATGAGCGAACTGGCCGTTTTCGGTTCGCGAGAGGGCGTCGCGGCCGTCATTTCTGCGGCCCGGGTCCGCCGGTTTTTGGTCCTAGGCCGTTGTCACTAAAGGGTGGTTTACTAAGGGGAGGTTTGTCCACCGCCGCGGAGCCCGCCCCCGAACAGACGCGCCCAGAGGCCTCGATCCTCTCGTCCCCCGATGGTCGGCGGCGAGGCCCGCACCGCCTCTCTGCAGGCTCGCTCTGGGGCCCGCTCTTCCGGGCAGAGGCTGGCGCACTGTGGTCGCAGGGCGTCCCAGTGGGGGTCGAGAGGACTCGATGTCTTGATATCTCGAGATCTCGATCTCTGCGGGGGGGGGGCGGGGGGGGACTCGATATCTCGATATCTCGATATCGGAGGGCAAGGCTCTGCGGGGACTCGATATCTCGATATTTTGATATCTCGATATTTGGGGGGGGGCTTCGAGGCAGCACGATCAGCATGGAGCAGCGGCAGCAGCACCAGCAGCACGATCAGCATTCCCTTCTCAGCGTGCACACGGTCGTGGGCTGTCTTGGAGCGTCTCGGCGCGCACACGGTCGAGGGTTTCGGGCCGCCTTGGGCCGTCCACGGTCTTTCCAGAGCCCCTCCCGATGCCAGACCGCTGAGAGCCGTCGAGCCCGCGCATGTGCGTCGACGAAAATCTGGGGATCCTGGGGGCAGGCTGCGGGGTCCTGGGCCGTTTTGGAGCGGGCCGCGGGCCGTCCCGGGCCCTGCACGGGCTCCCTGGAGCTCCTCCTCGCGGTGCCAGGCCGCCGGCAGCCGTCGGGGTCCTGGGCCGTTTCGGAGTGGGCTTCGGGCTGGGTCGTCTGTTCGTATAGTGGGCGCACTCGGGATCCACCTGCGGCTTGGTTGCAAGGGGCCAGAGGCGATTCGGTAGGGCGGCCCCACCCGAAATCTCTTCCTCAGGTCCTCCAGCGTCTTCCCAGGCTCTTCGACCAGGCCAGCCCTGGTTGCGCGAAGGGAGCCAGGCTTAGCGCCTCGCGGCCTGGGCCAGAGGGCGCGCGAGGGCGCGAAGACGATTGCCCCTCGCGCCTCTCGGGGCGCGAAGCGCGAAGCCGGGTGATCTACCGTGAGTTCGCGCCGTGCCGACGCGGCAGCGACCCCAGCGCGGGCGCTCCACGTCGAGCGCCGCGGGTGGCCCAGGCTCGGCCGACGTCGAACGATCCGCGCTGTCGACAAGCCGCGGGTCGTTCGAGGGTGAGCGATGCGCAGTGCCAGACACCAACGCGCAGGTCGTATTGGCGGCGAGCGAGGGGGGTCAGTGAGAAGGAGGAGGCCCTCTCAGAAGGCGGCCGGGCTTCCAAGAAGCCTCCGCGCCTTCTGTGAGGCTTTCTCTGTACCTTCGGAGAAGACTCTGGAGACTCCTCAGAAGGCTGGGGGACTTCCGAGCCGAGACTCCTCAGAAGGCTGGGGGACTTCCGAACCTTCTGGGAAGGTCCGCCCCCTCTCGCTTTTCCCCCCTGTCGATCTCTAACGGCAGGAACCTGCCGTGCGTGAGCGGCGACAGCGGCGGGCCCGCGCCGCCCTTTCCCCCCGATGCCCTGTCGGCCGCCGACAGGCCGGTGCCCTCCACGGCGGCGCCGACTTCAACGGGCGCGACCGGCGCTTCGCTACCCCCCTCGCCTCCTTGGGGGAAGCGCCTGGGCGGGGGAAGGAGGAGTAGGAGAAGGAGGTTCAGGAGGAGGAGGAGGAGGAGGAGGAGGAGGAGGAGGAGGAGGAGGAGGAGGAGGAGGAGGAGGAGGAGGAGGAGGAGGGACCGCGTCGCGACTCGACGGTGGGGGGTTCCTTCGGGGGCGCTGGCCAGGTGCCCCCCAGGCCAGGCCGCCCAGGTGCCCGCCGGAGCTCGGCCTTCTCCGTCCCGGCGCCAAGGCATCGCCGATGCACCGCCGACGGGCCCACCTGGGCGGCCTGAGCGGCGGTCTCGGCGGTTCTCGAGGGGCGTCCTTGGGGGCCTCGGGGTGGCGCTCGACCTCGAGGCCTCCCAGGGCGCGTCCTGGCGCACTGGGGCTCGTGGCGGGGAGCCGGGAGCGGGACGGTCTGACGGGGTCGCGGTCAGAGCGTGGAGGGGGGGCGCGCCAGCAGGTCGGAGAGAGCGGTCAGGGCGCCTCCAGAGGCCCCCCGAAGGGTTTCACGTACTGCAGGGGGCTTTCGGCGTGATGGCTCCCAGGCTTCCACAGTTCCCTTCCGCGAATGGGACGGGGAGGGGGGACGCCGACGCCGACGCCGACGCCGACACCGACACCGACAACGGCGACGACGACGACGACGGCGGCGGCGGCGGCGGCGACGACGACGACCGACGCCGACGCCGACGCCGACGTCGACGACGACGCTGACGCCGACGCCGATCCGCCGCCGTTGACGACGACGACCACGACGACGACGACGACGAGGGCGACGCCGACGACGACGCCGACGACGAGGACGACGACGACGAGGACGAGGACGACGATGACGACGACGACGACGACGACGACGACGACGACGACGACGACGACGACGACGACGACGACGACGACGGCGACGGACCGCGACGACGACGACGACGAACGACCCCCTACTCACAGGGGGAGGGCGGGGGGTGCAACGGCACCCTCCACCACGCCACGCCCACAGGGCCACGACCACAGGGGGGGGGCCCATTCGCGAGGCTCTCGCGAGGCTCACGGGCGCACCCACGCAGCGTGTGGGGGCTCGATCCAATGGTCATTGGGGTGGAGGGGGAGGGTGGGGGCAACCCTGGATCATGCATCAGGCGTGGCCCTGGAATACACACACACACACATATATATATATATATATATATATTTATATATTATATATAATATATATATTATATATATATATAAAAATGTAAAATATGTATCGGGCGTGGCCCTGCAGAACCTGCCGGGGGTGCCTGCTACCCATGCGACTCGTCGTGGCTTGCGCGATATCCATGGGCTGCGCCGCAGGCTGCGCCATCCGTGGGGCACTCGGGGGCTCCCAACCAGTGCGTTGGCAACGCCGTGTGGTGAGTTAGCGGGGAGATGGCGTGACCAACCGGTTGAGTCGGGCATGTCCCTCTACAGGAGGAGTATTCAAACATAATCCACAAATGATACTGGAGAAAAGCCTCAATCGAAGTCTTTTTAGGGCCATTGGGCTATAGGGCGATGGGGCTTATGGGGCGATAGGGCTATAGGGCTACGGAACTATAGGGCTATAGAGCCTTAGGGATATAGGTCTATAGGGCTATAGTGCTATAGGGCGATAGGGCTATAGGGCTATATGGCTATATGGCTGTAGGGCTATAATGCTATGGCGCTATGGGGCTCTGGGGCTATGAGGCTATAGGGCTATAGGGCCATAAGGTCTATGAGTCTATAGGACTATAGGGCTATAGGACCGCAGGGCAATTGGGATAAAGAGATATAGGGCTATGGGGCTATGGGGCTATAAGGCTGTAGGCATATAGAGCTATAGGGCTATAGGGCTGTAGGCTATAGGACTATAGGACTATAAGGCTATACGGCTATAGGGCTATAGGGCTATAGGGCTGTACTGCTGCTGCTGCTGCTGCTGCAGCTCCGCTCCTTCTCCTCCCACCCTTCCTCCTCCTCCTCCTTCCTCCTCCTCCTCCTCCTCCATTTCCTCCTTCTCCTCCATTTCCTCCTCCTCCTCCATTTCCTCCTCCTCCTCCTCCTCCTCCTCCTCCTCCTACTCCTCTTCCTCTTCCTCCTCCTCCTCCTCCTCCTCCTCCTCCTCCTCCTCCTCCTCCTCCTCCCCCGCGTCTGTTTCCTTTCTCCTCCCGCATACACAGCTGCCCCGTCGGATTGCGCGTCACGCGATTGGGTTCTTTGGGACATCCAGGTCCGCTACGACATCCGTCGGCGGATGGAGCAATATCAGCACAATGGGAAAGCATGGTGGGAGGGGTGGAATGTTCGATATGGTGCGCACGCACCTAGCTTGCCCCCCTCCACTATCCCTCTTCCCTCCACCCCCACCCTTTTGCTTTACACCTACGTTCCTTGTCGCCGCACCACCAGGCCTCTCGGCATGATGGTCCAGCCGTTTGGCGTGACACCCCCATCGCGCTCTATTCCCCAAAGAGTGCCTGCACGTATAGACTCTCACTTGCCTTCTGAGGAACTGTTGTTGTTGTTGTTGTTGTTGTTGTTGTTGTTGTTGTTGTTGTTGTTGTTGTTGTTGTTGTTGTTGTTGTTGTTGTTGTTGTTGTTGTTGAACATTATTACTTCTAAAGAATAATTATTGTTGGGACCCCTGGTGCACGACCCCCCCGCCGCGCCTAGGCCGCAGCCTCATTTTCATCATTTTCGTGAGGAAGTCTCAGGCAAAACGGGGGAGTCCGGATCCGGTTGTGTTGTTACGATCGGTTTTCCCTTGCAAAAAATAAGCTAAAGTGGACATTTCTTGTTCTAACATAACCAAACTTCAAGAATCCCTTGCAAAAAATAAGGTAAAGTGGACATTCGCGCGCGCAAGACGAAATCCTTCCAAAACCTTAGTTTTCGTAGCGATTTTAACATAAAAACATCAAAAAACCAATGGTTTTTCAAACAAAAAATGTCGAAATTTCATCCCGCGCGCTCTTGCGGATTCGTAGGAAACCCAACACTTTTTAAACATTTCTGTCAAACGGGCTTTTGCGAGCAACTTTTTCGAACTTCTGCAACAACGGTTGCGCACCTGCCAGGGCCATCATCCCTGTCAAATAATACCATGCGGGACACATTCGTTTTTTCTTCGCGCGCGCACGCCGTCGTCGTCGGCCGCGGGGCCCTGAATAGTAGCCACGTCGTCCGCATGCCACGAAGTGAAGTGTCCGAACGTCATAGGGCGGGAAGCTGGGTGTGGGTGGTGGCGAAGAGTCGTTTGGAAATTTGGTAGAGCTTGAACCGGCCCCCCCACAAAGTGGGGGTATTGCCCGCCTCCTATGAAAACCCTGGCACTGGTGAGAACGGTGTGTCCCCACGTGCTAGTAATGTTGTTGTTGTTGTTGTTGAACATTATTACTTCTAAAGAATAATTATTGTTGGGACCCCTGGTGCACGACCCCCACGCCGCGCCTAGGCCGCAGCCTCATTTTCAACATTTTCGTGAGGAAGTCTCAGGCAAAACGGGGGAGTCCGGATCCGGTTGTGTTGTTACGATCGGTTTTCCCTTGCAAAAAATAAGCTAAAGTGGACATTTCTTGTTCTAACATAACCAAACTTCAAGAATCCCTTGCAAAAAATAGGTAAAGTGGACATTCGCGCGCGCAAGACGAAATCCTTCCAAAACCTTAGTTTTCGTAGCGATTTTAACATAAAAACATCAAAACACCAATGGTTTTTCAACAAAAAAATTGTCAAAATCTCATCCCGCGCGCTCTTGCGGATTCGTAGGATACCCAACACTTTTTAAACATTTCTGTCAAACGGGCTTTTGCGAGCAACTTTTTCGAACTTCTGCGACAACGGTTGCGCACCTGCCAGGGCCATCATCCCTGTCAAATAATACCATGCGGGACACATTCGTTTTTTCTTCGCGCGCGCACGCCGTCGTCGTCGGCCGCGGGGCCTTGAAATAGTAGCCACGGTCGTCCGCATGCCACGAAGTGAAGTGTCCGAACGTCATAGGGCGGGAAGCTGGGTGTGGGTGGTGGCGAAGAGTCGTGTGGAAATTTGGTAGAGCTTGAACCGGCCCCCCACAAAGTGGGGGTATTGCCCGCCTCCTATGAAAACCCTGGCACTGGTGAGAACGGAGTGTCCCCACGTGCTAGTAATTGTTGAACATTATTTATTCTAAAGAATAATTATTGTTGGGCCCCCTGGTGCGCGCCCCCCCTGCGCCGCCTAGGCCGCAGCTACATTTTCATCATTTTCGTGAGGAAGCCTCAGGTAAAACGATGTGTTCCAGATCCGGTTGTTTTGTTGTAATCCGTTTTCCCTTGCAAAAAACACTATAAAATGACATTTCTTGTTCTAATATAATCAAATTTCAAGAATCCCTTGCAAAAAATAAGGTATAGTGGACATTCGCGCGCGCAAGACGAAATCCTTCCAAAAGCTTAGTGTTCGGAGCGATTTTAACATAAAAACATCAAAAAACCAATGGTTTTTCAACAAAGAAATGTCAAAATCTCATCCCGCGCGCTCTTGCGGATTCGTAGGAAAACCAACACTTTTTAAACATTTCTGTCATACGGGCTTTTGCGAGCAACTTTTTCGAACTTCTGCGACAACGGTTGCGCACCTGCCAGGGCCATCATCCCTGTCAAATAATACCATGCGGGACACATTCGTTTTTTCTTCTTCGCGCGCACGCCGGAATGTGAGTACGTATCATGTGTATCATGTGTATCATGTACCATATGCATCATATGCAACAGATGTTCTGTGGAAGGCTTACCAACTTCTGTGGGTTAACAAGGCTTAACAACTTCTGTGGGTGTACGAACGTAGGCTTAACAACTTCTGTGGGTGTGTACTCCACGCCAGTGTAGTAGCCACGGTCGTCCGCAGGCCACGAAGTGAAGTGTCCGAACGTCATAGGGCGGGAAGCTGGGTGTGGGTGGTGGCGAAGAGTCGTGTGGATATTTGGTAGAGCTTGCACTGCCCCCCCACAAAGTGGGGGTATTGGCTGGCGTCGCATGAAAACCCTGGCACTGGTGAGAACACTGAGCGTTCGGGTAAAGTGATTGTTGTTGTTGTTGTTGTTGTTGTTGTTGTTGTTGTTGTTGTTGTTGTTGTTGTTGTTGAATTCACATTTCTGAAGAATAATTATTGTTGACCCCCCCTCACCGGTGCATACTCTGTTTTCTCAATCAAAGTGCGCCCCTCGACGCTCGTACCCTGTTTTTTGACAGGGGAAGTCTTCCTGCTCAAACTGGGCCCCTGGCCCCCGGGTTACTACAACAACAGCTTCCGCTTGAGACTTCCTTGCAATTTAGCCAGGACCCCCGCTCCCGCCCGAGACTTCCTCGCATTTTATTCAGGAATCGCGCTCTCGCTTGGGACTTCCTTACAATTTATTCAGGAATCGCTCTCCCGGCGCTCTGGAGTCGCGCGCTGGAGACTTGCTTGCAATTTGCTGAAGAATAGCCTTGTGTTGGAATTTCCCGCGATTTGCCCAAGCGCCGCTCTCCCGACACCCAAGCACCCAGGAGTCGCGCCCGTTGTGGCCCCATGTGCATGCCCTTCGTGGCCCTGCTGTCGCCATTTGTGTCCCCCTCACTGTCCTACGTGGCCCAGTTGCTACCCTCAGTGGCCCCATAGTTGCCTTCTGTGGCCCCGCATTATCTGCACTTCGTGGCCCCCTCTCGTTCGCGTTCTTCGTGGCCCCATACGCATTCTCTTCGTGTCTCCGCTGTCGCCCTTCGTGGCCTACTTCGTGCCCTTCGTGGCCCTGCTGTCGTTCTCTCTCGATCTCGCTTTCGCTCGTCGTCGCCGTCGTCGTCGTCGTCGCCGTCGTCTTCGACGTCGTCGTCGTCGTCGTCGTCGTCGTGGTCTGTCCCCTGTCCGTCCCTCTCGGGGTCGGGTCGACTGTCCGCGGCCGCCCCGCCGATCAGCGCTGCCGCTGGCCAGGCCGACGGTCCGCGGTCGCCCCGCCGCTTGCCGGGGCCCGGCCTGCAGGGAAGAAAGGTATACCCCCCAAAAGGGGTTCGATCGAAGACGAGGAGGGCGGGTATCGAGGGTTTGGGAAATACGCTTTATTGAACACTCGAGCATATAAGGGCGAACAGTCTTAACTTTGTTGTTGTTGTTGTTGTTGTTGTTGTTGTTGTTGTTGTTGTTGTTGTTGTTGTTGCTGTTCTTTTTGGGGGGTGTTCGTTTTTCCTCCAAGATCCGCCTGTCGGAGGATATGCCCGACCTAACTAAACAGTTTTCTGAGTTGCATCGGTCTCCGAGGGTGTCTCGGGCGTCGGGGGCCTCCAGGGCTTCGGAACGGTGCGGTGACGCACCGCGCGGCGAGATTTTTGGCCACGCCCACCGCCTCGGAGTCGTGCCCCGGGGCCTCAAGGACCTCTCCGAGGGGCGGTGTTCATGGACATCTGCCCGCCCCCGGGGGCGGGAGGGCAATCTGGATTTCTTAACAAGAGTGGAGGGGTACCCCTCCCGACGGGGGTCAACCTCGCCTCGTCGTCGCGCCGCGGCGGGGGTCGGAGCGCCTTCGGCGCGCGGTGGCTACCCGCGACGGAGGTCGGTGTGGGGCTGTCGGCGGGGTTGGCGCCCACTCGACGCGTATCAAGAAACTCGGAGTATCCATTACCCATCGCCCCCCAGGGCTCCAGTGCCAGGCCGGCCTATAGGATGAGGATAAGTCGTTCTAGAGCGCTCCAGAACGCTCACGGAGCGTCCCAGGACGCTCTGCAACTGCCGCGGCGCATGGTGCACCCTCCGGACCTCAGGGACTTGGGATTCCCGACCCCTCACAGGGCAAGGCTCCGGCAGCCGCGGACGCGGACACTTCTCCGCGGTGCTTCGTCAATGCGGCGGCGCGCGCGTGCGCCCTCGCGGCCCGCCCGAGGTGCGCGCAGCCCTCTCGCGGGCCGCCACAGCAGGCGTGCTTCGAGGCGGGCCGCTTTGGGCAGCCGGCAGCCTGGGCGCCCCGCCGCCAGGGGTGGGGGTGGGGGGCCTGGGGGCGCGCCGCCGGAGCGACAGCGCCGTGGGGACGATTTTTCGTTTTTTTTTCCCCGCTTCTGATTGTTTTTCGACGGGGGAGGCCTTCCCGGAAGCCCTCCTCGGCGGAAGCCTCCCGAAAGGGCGGCCTCCTCGGCGGAAGCCTCCGCTTCCGAAAGGACTCCTCGGCGGAAGCCTCCCGAGAGGGCGGCCTCGGGCCTTCGTGCGCCTGCTGGGGCGCCTTCGTCGCCGCGGCCGGATCCGCCTCCGAGCTCTTGCCAGGGCGCACCTTTGGGCGGGTCCGTGGGGTCCACCCGGGAGGGAGGGGGCCTCCAGCGTCTTGGAAGACTACGGCCGGATCTGATCGCCAGTCATTTTCCTCATTTGGGGGCCGTTTTCGGACTCCGGGGCCATTAAATATCGACCTGTGACGAAGAGCGACCGGGTCGGGCGGTCCCAGGTCGCGTAATTTCTGCAAAAACCATTTTGGAGGTCTAGAGCCCAGGGGTTGGATCCATATCAATCGTTTCGGAGACGTGCCCTGTCGCCTGGAATAGTAGTGGGTATTGACGTTTGTCCGCCCCCTGATCAGAGGAGCAGGAGGTCACGATAATGCTGCCTCCCGAGATTAGTCAAGGATCTCCTGGGATGCCTGTTGCTCCACACGGACTGCAGACAACGAGGGCCGCCAGTTAAATCCAGCATTCCTGTAACGCGTCTAGGGCTAATCTTCTCCTGACATCATGCTGGTCTTACCTGAGGGTACGGCAGGTTCGCGTCGTGCCGACCGGCGGCGACCCCAGCGCGGGCGTTCAAGGTTGAACGCCGCCCGTGGCCCAGAATCGGCCCATCCTTCAACGGTCTTGCCCTTCTGAAAGCTCCGATCGCTCGAGTTGGAACGATCCCCGCGGTGTCGGGCACCGACGCCGGGGCCGACACGACGCGATCCTGCCGCAGGAAGCTGTCCACGTCCGTCCGTCCCCGGGGAGCCGGGCCGGGGCTTCCCGGGTCGGCCGCTCGAGCCCCTCTGCGGGCAGAGGGCGGTCGGAGCCCGCAGGGGCTCCGGACGGAGGGCTCCGCTGCGGGAGCCCGGCGGCCCGCCAGGGGCCCGGCCTCGTCGCCACCGGGCGCCCCCTCGGCCGCTGGGGCCCCTCTGCGGGCTCGGGCGGTCGGGGCCCGCGGGCTCCGAGGGCTGAGCTTCGGGAGCCCGGCGGCCCGCCAGGGCCCGTCCTCGTCGCCACCGTGCGTCCCCTCCTCCTTCCCTCCTGCCTTGCTGTCCCGGGCACGAACAACGGCATGAACATGAAAACTCGGAGGTCCGCGCGGATTTCTCGGCTCCGCGCTGGAACCCCCTGGCGGCGCCTCCGGCGCCGCCCCTGGCGCGCTCCGTGCGCCAGGGAGGGGGTCCATCGCCGACCCGAGAAATCCGCGCGGACCTCCGAGTTTTAATGTTTATGCCCTTTTTCGTTTACTTATTTTTTTGTGTCCATCACTGTCAATTCTAGCCAGTCGGCTTTCGCAATGCTTCGTTCTCTGCTCTCGTTCATGGTGCCTCTGTGTGCCTCGTTGCGTACTGTGCTGCCGATGCGGTCGCCGTTGCTCGTAGCCCAGATGTTCATGATTCTGCTCACACGCACTCGGTGTTTGGCCACACTTCCGCACAGCACCAGATTGATAAACAGGACCGCCATGATTCGCATATGATCACAGTCGAAACGGCTTAGGGATGGGGGCGGGAAGACCCTTTTCATTAACATCCCTTTTCATCATTAGTATTGTGATGACTGTTCCTCCCTCTTTCTCTTCGTATCCTTATTTCTGATCCTCTTCCGAGGACTTTGACTACATGGAATGGTGGCTTGGAGCGTCTTATGCTGTGAGCCATCGTGCGGTACTGCACTACAGGGGCAGCTGGACGCCCTCACTCAATGCTCCCCGCCAGTTGACCAGAAAAGCTGGCTCGGCCCACATCCTTGCGGCCATCCATGCGCGTACATCCGCGGGTCGCCGCATGCAATGATACACCTAGACATATATGTGTGTATATATATAGTGACTTGCGAATCTTTCGAGACTCCTTCCGGGACCCCCTCGCCGCATAAACCAAAGATACATGTGGACAGGTTTCCGATCATTCAGAGAGCGGCAGCCTCGTGGTCTCTATCTTGCTTGCGGCCCCTTGGGGATCGAGGGATCCCGAGGCGGGAATCACGTTCTACACGAAGCAGGGCTGCTCGCGGTCCGATTCGATCCGATCCGATTCCACAGCTTCGATTCCGATCTCGATCCGATCCCGATCCGACACAAACGGATTTCCTCTCCGGCATGCAGGGGCCGAGCGCGATCCGCGATCCCAACCGATCCTGATCCCGCGCCGATCTTGGCGCGATCTGATCCGTCTCCGATCCGATCCGATTTCGCGATTTGATCTCGCTTAGGCCTGCGGGGCACGGGCCAGCCGCGGATGCAACCGTGCGGCGGTCCACAGAAGCGGGCCCGTGGAACCGCCGAATTCTCCTCCTCTTGGTTTTGGGCCAGTCTGACGTTGTTCGCAAGCAGTTCGCTCACGGGCCCAAGCTAATCATGCTGGGTAGTCGAAGGCCAGACTGTCAGACTGGATTGGGCCCCAAGGGCCAATCTGGCCTGGCCATGTTGGAGGATTTGGGTTATTCGCCAGACTGGATTCGCGTTGGCTCCCTCGCCAGATTGCCCCCGTTTGCCAGATTGGGCCTGCCAGATTGGCGCCAGATTGGCTTCGACTACCCAGTCATGGGAGACATGACTGCGCGACTGTACGAGCAATTCGTCGGAGAGTCGCGCGTGGTTGGACCGCACCTGTTTGCGTTCCCGGGGTACGAATGCAAGCCAGATGCAAGCCGGCACCTGTTCGGAGAGGCGTGCGCCTAATTGGACATGGGTGTGGCCAGTACATGCTTCACGCTCTCGGTTGAGAGTCAGGCCACGTGCTGTAGCGTCGGCCTCGTCGCTGGGGAGACCGTGAGTTTGCACACGCATTCGCGACTCGATTTTTTTCGGGTGTTCCTGCAGAACTTGTTATCATCAGATCAAAGCCGTACGATCCATCACGCACGCCCCATTATTATCTCACCACGTCTTGCTACGTGGGGTGCTGAACATGGAAATGGAAAGCAGTTCATTCGAACATAATGCCAAATTCGACCTGCGGATGTTGATGGAACCTTGCTCCAGACGTTCATTCGCACAGTGCTTCAGCCATGCGCAGGTGCAGAACGAAGAATCAACACCCAGCCATGGAGATGTAGACGCAGCTTGGTCCTGGATGGTCGACGGCTTTCGCCAGGCAGAGCAGACGATGCTGTCTAAGGTGTGCCGTCGCCCTGCGCGTCCTTGGACACGCAGCTGTACTCTCAATGTCGTAGCCCGTACACGGGAGGCATGATGGCACGGAGATCCGATGGAGAACATCCATACGAAGCAGGTCAAAGCATCAGTCGCGCGCGATCGTGCGCATTAGCTTTAACACGTGATCAAAAATGGCGGGTGGGCGCATATTCTGAAATTGAGGAAAGGGCGTGCTCGACAACCTGGCAGGCTTCGAGTCAGCAGCGGAGATCTCGTAGACGCAGATATGCGTGCAATCACTTTGGCAGGACACCTGGAACGCATCCAATAGGCGGTGCGACCAACCACCATTCTTCCAGACTGCGCGAACGTATGCCCCGAACTGCCCGTGAGGCAGGGTCCCATCCTCGAGTCAGAGATCGGGAACGCGGCGAAGAAATGCAAAAATGGGCACGCCTCAAGACTAGACCAAATACCGGCAGCGTGCTTGAATGCCGTGACCGAAGACGGGGAGTCCGCCATTTCATGGATCGACAGACTCTGTAATTCTGTGTGGTCGCAAGCTTGTGTGCCTGCCGCACGGCGCACGTCCAGAGTCAAATGATATACACGAAGGCGACCCGTCGGCATGCGACAATTACAGACCTATCAGCTTTCTCCAAATGTGATATAAAGTTTTCACCATGGTCATGTCACAGCGGCTGAAACAGGCAGGAACCGAAGACCGAATATGGCGTTCACAGTTTGGCTTCAGATCTGAACGAGGAACGGCCGACGCTATATTTGTTGCAAGACGGGCCATTGAGGATGCGTGGACAACGGAGCAAGGGTCGACGCTGGTGCTTGCCTTAGACTGGGCGAGTGCCTTGGACTCAGTATCGCCCACCGCCCTGGCGACATCGCTGCTGAGGGTCGGATGCCCGCGCACATTTTTCGACATGCGTAGCCAACCTTTCGGTGTGTCCGATGTTTCCTTTTCTCTCACAGTTGTTGTGGCCGCCGCATTTTGTCAGGGAGTTGGTCAACGCCGACGAGGTGCTCCTGCTCAACGCCAAGCCCGGCCTCATCCCAAACCGAATGACATGTAGAGCAAAGGGGCCAGCATTACGGCTTGAGCCTCAATTGGCAGAAGGTGGAAGTAATGGTTGTCCCTAGTGCAACGCGCGTGATGAATCGCGCAGGTATTGCAGTGAATGGGAAAAGTAGATTAATTCACCTCGGCACGCACTTGTTTGCGCACGAGCGAAGTGGGGTGGAGCTCGGCCAGCGGTGAGGCGCCGCCAGACAGGATTTCAACTCGTTGAGCGTCATCTGGTCGCATTCCACTTGGAGCCGCCAGCGAAAGGTGTGTTTTTTTTGACGCGTGCGTGGATGCCGACGTGACATAGACTTTGCCTGTTACGTGATTGAATCAGCCAGTACTCAGGAGAATAGATGGTTTCAGGCCCACTGTCTCGAAAACATGTACCGCATCCCGCATTCCTACAATGGCACAGTCTCAGACAACACCGCGCTAAGCATGGCTTGCCAGCGGCTCTGAACGAACAACTATGCAAACAACATGTGCTTTCATGGGTTAGCTTGCTAAGCGCCCTGGCACGGAGCCCGTGCGCTCGTCCGTCCTGAGCCTGCTATCTTGGACCTGCGAGCGCCGTCTGGTCCAAGGAAGAGAGGCCACCCCCGACAGAACTGGGGGAACATGGTGATGAGCACTTGTCAGCGAGCGACCAGCACGCCCGCTCGCCTGGCTGCGTGCTTCCGCCCGGATGGCGGTGCAGCGCGATCGTGGGCGTCGGCAGTGCAATCGTGGCGCATTCGACGCGTTTTCCACCTTCGCTAGCGCAACGTCTGGCGCAAGTCTTCTGGTTGACTGATCGAGGGTATGGCGCCTCAAGTGGCTCTCATGGGTCGCCCCGAGGCGAAAACAGTTGGCCGCTCCGAAACCCCGCCATCTACTCCAGGCGGCCCGAGATGTGATCCATGTTTGGATGCGGTTGGCCCGCGGCCGATGTTGGCCGGTTTCGCATTCCGATGCAGATGAGATGCTCGCGTGGCCGATGGAAGAAATTAAAACCCTTTCCTGGCAGCCCGCCCCGTCCGTTCGGCCAGCCTCTCTTTGCCTCTTCGTCCTGGGGCCCCACCCCTTCGAATCCCACCATTCCGGGCCCCATTTTTTGGGCCCCATCCCCAGAGATCCGATGTCGTGATTTTTTCAATGCGGGGTCCCCAGATGTCCCGACCTATTCCCCAGGATCGGTTTTTCATCTTGAGTCGTTTTCTGACAGTCCCGGGGCCTGGCGAGGGCTTCTAGAGGTCGAAAAGGGCGAACAACTTCCGTCTTAATTTTTCCAATGCGCTGGATCTCCAGGTCCGCCGCCGCACCGCGCCTTTCTCCCGCGGCCGCCGCCGTCGGCCAGCCGAGCGCGACGGCCCCATGGCAGGCGCCGGGCATGTCCGGCCCGCCCTACGAGCGGGAGGCGTGGCCGCCGCAGCAGTCCGCCGCCCACCCGGCGCCCCAGATGCCGGAGAGGCACCCGCGCCCGCTGGCGGGGGGTTCCCGCAGGGGCAGCGCTAGGGGTGAGGGATAGGCCGAGGGGCAGCGTCAGCGTGGGGGATCCTCCTCCTCCTCCTCTTCCTTCTCCTCCTCCTCCTCCTCCTCCTCCTCCTCGCTTGTCGCCCTCCTGGGTGAGGGGCAGCGTCAGCGTGGGTGGAGGTTCGACGTTCGAGGATTCTCGGAGGTTTTCGATGGTCCTCGGCGGTCTCTTCCAGCCTCGGGATGCCTTCCAGCAGCTGCGCTTCGCCGAGAGCGTCCTGGGGCTGCCCGGAGTGTCCCGAGGGGCCTTCAGAGGCCCCAGTAATGGTCGAAAGCCAGGGGGCGGATGGTCAGGGGCAATTTTCGGGGGGGAATATGCTCAGGGGGATTTGCATCGACCCCCAATCGCCCACTCATCGCTGACAGTGGCCTGATAGCCCACCCCGCGCAGGACTGTGCGGTTTCGCTGTCGGGGGCCTACCGCTGATTTATCGGCGATGTATCGCCGATTGCAGGTCGATGTCCCTCCCCCCCTGAGCCAGTCCCCCCCTGACGTTCCCCCCCCCCCTCTCCGTGTGGCTCAAGACGAAGACGGTCACCAGGAAGGGCGTCAGACCGCTGTGGGGAGCCATACCGTGAACATGATGTCGACACTTGGGGTCTAGGTCTGTGGAGGGGTCTACGGCGGAGGGTCCGAAGGGATGAGAGAGGATCGGCGGTGAGCAGGGGCGGCCAGGGCAGGCCTGGAAGGTGCAGGGGGCACGGCGTCTCAAGAAGCCTGTCCCCTTTGAGGAGCGAGCACCCTGTCTCCTTGGAGGGCCGCCTCCTCCTCGCCCTGCCTCCGTCTCCGTCTGCCCGCCGCCAGGCCGGGGGAAGGGGCGGGCTGGAGGGCTCGGGTCGGATGAAAGGGGGGGCCGGGAAAGGAGCGGGATCACGAAAGCTGCTGCGTGTAGCCAGTTTCAGCACTGCCGCCGAATGGCGCTTCCGTCGCGATACGTTGGCGCCTCTGGCGCCATGAGAACGGGCTGCATGCAGCGGATTCGTTGACCCCCCTTTTGCTGCGCCCCTTTTCGTTCGATCCGAGAACGGAGAGGGAGTGAGGGAGGGGATTTTGGGGACAGGATAGGTATGGATTGGAGCACTTGCGAGGCGTGGCAGGAACGTGACTGTCCACTTGACTCATCGGATCTCAGCCCCTGTGTGCTCAACCCAGCTGCCTGCGGCAAACCCGCCGCTATGCCAGCGCATCAGCGCAGCAGGAAGGACGGTGAGTTGAAGACCCCCTTCAGTTCAGTGCGTGCTCTGTTTGAGCTGTCGCGGGTCTTGAGCACCCCCTCTTTGTCTACGGCCTCGTTCTCCTCCTCCTTCATGCTTATTCCCTATTCGCTTCTGTTCCCACTGGGCCACCCAGCTGGCAGACGACACCTCCATCCGGGTGGCTCCGTTCTGCGCAGAACAAGCACGATGTCCTGGGCTTTCCTTCCAGCATGGGCGTCTTCGCGTTGACGTGACAACAATGTGCGGCAGGAGTGGGACGGGGCGCACGCCCCGCGTGAGAGGGCGAAATGCCGCTCCCGACTCGGCGCCGCGCTGCCGAGGCAGGAATTTACACGTGACCGCCGTCTGGAGGATCAGTTTTCGGGACCTCGGCAGGCGGTGGATACGGACATATTCGGGCCCCTGGGGGCCAAAATATATCCATATCCAACGCCCGCCGGGGCACCAGGACGTCGGTTCCCAGGCGGTGGATATGGATAAACGCCCGCCTCGCAGCGCTCATCTTCGACTGAGAGTGGAGCTTCCGCGGGGGCACGGCACACGCCCGCCGCTCCGTCGACGCGAAGCTTTCGCTCCCCCCTCGGCGTCGCGCGGATTCCTCGGGATTTTGGGGCGCTTCCGCCCTGCAGGAGCGAGAGGACGTGCACGGACCCCGGCTGGTTTCGAAAGTACGCTCTGCGCGAACGTTCGTATCACGAGTCGGAGGCGAGCGAGGGAGGCAAATGAGAAGGAGAAGGCCTTCTCAGAAGGCGGCGGGACTTCTCAGAAGGCCTCTGGCCTTCTGAAAAGTTTTCCTGTCCTCGGGGAAGGCTTGGACAATTTCTTAGAAATCCTGGGAACTTCCGAGCCTTTTGAGAAGGCCTTCTCCTTCTCACTTCCCCCCTGGGCGCGCCGCCTAACGAGGCTGGTCTCGCGGACGGGAGGGCGGTATTCGTGTGCGTGGTTGGGCGCAGGGCTGGACCCGAACTCGGTTTTGCTGGACCTCGGTTGTGCTTGGCTCTTCGCTTCTGGCGGGGAGGTGCAGGAGAACAGGCAGAGCAAAACGACATGCCATAACGAAAACAAAACGAACAACAACGTTTAGTCGGCGTCATCCCAACATACTTCTACTATAGTTATGTGGGTCGCAACCCCAGGGGCGACGCGCACACCGAGAAATCTTATAGTACATGCGTCGTGGCGGGCGCTTTCTGGCCACACCGCTCGGGAAACGATACACTACAAGATGGGTTTACTCTATGCTCGGGTCGGACGCGCGCCTCCAAGGATGACATACAGTACCAGCATGCCTTTGTGCCTCCCGTTTAGGTCCAGCCCTGGCTGCGCGCGTGCACCCCGGCGCGGCGCGCGTCTCGATGCCCGCCGCGCCGTTTGGGGGGGCAGGCTCTGGCCGCGCGAGGGAGCGAGCGGGCGGCTCGAGGCGCCCGGGCAGGTCTCGCTTTTGTTTGCCCCGAGGTGGCAGGCCCGCGCGGGCGCGGCGAACGTGTAAGTCGGGCCTGTCCCTCTGCAGGAGGAATGTTCAAAGATGGTCCAAAGATAGTCCGGGGACGATTCTTTGATCATTTTTGATTATTATTGAGTTTTGTTGGTGTATTTTTAATGGTTCGCCCAAAGTCCGCCTGCAGGGGGACATGCCCGACCTGCGGCTGGACCGAGGCGTTGTTTTTCGCCTTATTGTGGCGGCGCTGTCCTGGCGCTGCGCATGCTTCGTCCTTACCGCGCTCATCGAAAAAACGAGTCCGCCCGAGAGAGGAGGCTCAATGGTGCTCTCGCCGCAGCGCCGCGCAAGGATTCCTGTTTCTCCCTCCCCCCTCCTCCCTTTTCCTGACTCCTCCTCCTCCTTCCTCTCCTCCTCCTCCTCCACCTCCTCCTCCCCCTCCTCCTTCATTCCTCCTCCCCCCCCCCCTCCTCCTCTCCTCCTCCTCCTCCTCCTCCTCCTCCTCCCCTCTCCTCCTCCTCCTCCTCCTCCTCCTCCTCCTCCTCTCCTCCTCCCCTCCTCCCTCCTCCTCCTCCCCTCCTCCTCCTCCTCCTCCTCCCTCCTCCTCTCCTCCTCCTCCTCCTCCCTCCCTCCTCCTCCTCCTCCTCCTCCTCCTCCTCCCTCCTCCTCCTCCTCCCTCCTCCTCCTCCTCCTCCTCCTCCCTCCTCCTCCTCCTCCTCCTCCTCCTTCTCCTCCTCCTCCTCCTCCCTCCTACCCGTGCGCGGCCCGCGTTTTTCCCATCGTTTTCGAAATCGTCGGAAGCGGGACAGCGTGCGAGCGCCTTCCGTTTGCTATGCGGGAGCGTGTTCCAGTCCCGAGGTCAAGCTGTGCCACCCTTGACTCGTATGCTACGGGAGGGAGGGTGGGAACGGAAGGGGCCCGCGGACTCGTCTGGCCTGGCTGGGTTGACCCTTCCTCCTACTTGCCCTCCTCCTGTCTCCTCCCGCTTGACATGCATTTTCGGACGTTTCTTGGGGGCCCTCTCTGGGGCTTTTTTGGGCCCCCTGGGTGCTCGTAGGGGGGGCCGCTTAGGGGGCCTCTTGGGGGCCGTGTTTTGCGCGACGGCTCGGCCGAGTCCTCGGAATCTGGGGAGGTTCTCGGGCAGCCTTGGAGCTGGCTGGGGCGCTCCTGGGGCAGTTCTGGGCCGCTCCAGCCGCCCCACGGGGGCTCTCCGAGACTCCCCCGAGGCGATCCGAGCTCGCCTCCTCGGGCCTCGCCAGAGGTCTCCCTGTGTATCCCTTTGGGGCCTCTTGGGGCCTCCTGAGGCCTCTTGAGGGATCTCGCAGGGCTGTCTTCAGGTGCTACTGGGTCAAGGGAGGAAAGGCCACCCGGACCCGACAATTGGCGTTTAGTAGACGGCCCTGGGCGTTTACTAAACAGCCCTGCCCTGTTTGATTCCTTGTTTGGGTGCGTTTACTAAACAGCTTCGCGTGTCGGGGTGGTTATTCTCGGGGTGGATTTTCTGCCTTCTATTAGGAGCGTCTTGCAGACTTTCCGGGGGCCGGAGAGCAAAGTCATTGGGGGGCTATTAAGAGGTGGCGCGCGCGTGGGGGGATTGATTTCAGACCACAGACAAACAGTGCAACACGCCCCGACGTGCCGAAGGCACGGTGGCGGATCTGCACGCTCTCTCCGCTTATGGATTGCCGCCAGTGTCGCACTGCTCCGCGAAGGCTCTCGGCTGGGACTGGCCTGCCGAAAAGCCCGCGCGGCCCCGCAGGACGAGAATCCCAGAGCAGATGAAGCGTGAAGGAAACACATTTGATTTCGTGCGCCCGCCCGTCCGATACCTGCACGCCAAGAACAGCTGCATCGACACAACATTTAGTATAGGAGGAGGTCCGCGCGGACCTCTCGAGCCAGCGCTGGCCCCCCCCCCCCTCCCACGCAAGTCCACGCGGTCCTCAGGAAGCTTGTGCTTGTGCCGCTTCCTGTTTCCTCCGTGCCCCCCGCGGGAAACAAAAACGGTGGGAGGCCGCGTGCGCGCGCGGACCAGCCCTCCAGGTCCTGCCGCCGCTCCGAGCTCGAGCCAAGGTGCTGCTGGTCGGTGTCGAAGCTGCGCGGGTGGCCCTCGGACGCTCCGCCGCCCCCCCCCCCGGAGGTGGCATATAAGAGGTGGCGGCGCCCGCGGGGGGTGTGGCGCGAGGGGCGGGCGGCCCTCCAAGACGTCGGGGGGGGCCTCCAAAGAAGGCAGGGGGGGCTCCTCAGGAGCCCGCCCGCCTGCTGAGAATCCTGTCTCTCCTCCTCCTCCTCCTCCTCCTCCTCCTCCTCCTCCCTTCCTCACTCCTCACTCCTCCTCCTCCTCCTCCTCCTCCTCCTCCTCCTCCTCCTCCTCCTCCCCTCCCCCTCCTCCCCTCCTCCTCCTCCTCCTCCTCCTCCTCCTCCTCCTCCTCTCCTCCTCCTCCTCCTCCTCCTCCTCCTCCTCCTCCTCCTCCTCCTCCTCCTCCTCCCTCCTCCCTCCTCCTCCTCCTCCTCCTCCTCCTCCTCCTCCTCCTCCTCCCTCCTCCTCCTCCTCCCCCTCCCCCTCCTCCTCCTCTCCTCCTCCTCCTCCTCCTCCTCCTCCTCCTCTTCCTCCTCCTCCTCCTCCTCCTCCTCCTCCTCCTCCTCCTCCTACCCCTCCCCCTCCTCCTCCTCTCTGCGCAGGCCCCCGCCTCCCGAGAGGCCCCCCTTCGCCCTCGGAGTAGGCCGCAACACCCCCCTCGCAAACGCACCCCGTTGTGAGTGCGGGCGCCGACGGGCCCCGACCCCCGAAGCATCGTGCTTGCTCTGCACAGCGTGGCTCCTCGGAGGCCTCGACCCGTTCCTCTCGTCTTGGGCCGAGCCTTAAGTCGGGCCTGCCCCTTTTCAGGAGGAACATTCAAGAATGGCCAAAACATAGGATGTGCACGATTTTGGTGATCATTTTTTATTTTTGTTTGGGCATTTTTATTTTTCGCCCCAAATCAGCTTGTAGGGGGACAGGCCCGACTTAAGCCGAGCCTCAAGCGAAGAGGCAGAGGCTGCGCCTTTCGCCGCTTCCTCACGCATCATTCGGGGGTGGACAGAACCTCGGTACCGTTTCACCGACCCCCACCCCCATCCTCATCCCCTTCGAGACCCCCACCAAATTACCACCCCAGTTGGGGATACACCCCTCGAAACCCGCAGGGTACGGCCTATATCCCCATCTAGGGGGTAAATCGGCCAGTGGGGCCCAGGCCACGCCGCTGGGGATGGGGGTCGGATGAACGATGCTCAGAACCCCCCACCCTGACACGTGGATTGGTGAGTTGTCCGTTGTCGATTCTCGAGAGGGCGCCGCAGCGGGTATTGTCCAGGCCTGCGCCCGCCAGGCTTGGGCCCGAGGTCGTTTTCACCAAACCACGGTTTGCTAAATGGGGGTTCTGTCCATCCCCGATTTTGGACCGAGTCTCAAGCGAAGAGGCAGGGGCTGCGCATTGCGCCGCTGCCAAACGTGTCGTACGTGTTCATGTCTGCAGTTTGGTGGCTGCATGCGTCGATCATTCGGCACAGCTCTGGTGTCTTGTGCTGCAAGTTCTGGAGGCGGTACGTCTTCAGAGGATAGCTTTTTCATTCCTCTGCGGCTCGTATTCCGAATGCGAGCCCCGTTTGGGCAACGTTTAGGGGTCAGGCAGCCCCTGACTATATGCATACTCTCTCGTTTCGCCCTCTAGGTGCCCTTCGGGTCAAGCTGCCTATGGTGCAGCATCGAACGAGCATCGTCGACGATAGGGCTGGAGGCAGAGCGTAAAGATGCAGCGCACAGCGGGGGTGTCAATCCCCAGTCGTTTTCCGACGGTCCCAGGGCCCAGCGAGGGCCCCCAGAGGCCGAAAGTGGGCACAAATTTCGGGTCGCGATTTGTTCCCCCCCTTCTGTCGGCGGCCAGACCAGGGGGCGAGTGAGAGGAGGCGGGCCTTGTCAGAAGGCTCGGAAGTCCTCCGGCCTTTTGGGCAGTGCTCGGAGCTCTCCCGAAAGCGCAGGCACTATTTTTCAGAAGGCTGGAGGGTCTCTGAGAAGCCCCGCCGCCTTCTGAGAAGGCCTCCCCCTCCTCCATATCCCCCCCTCGCTCGCCGCCGATTGTGGGCGCCGCGGGCGCCGCCAAAGGACGACCCTCGCCCGTTCGTCTCCGGTTGGGCGCAGGGCCTGCTCGGCGGAGGGCCGGCCACGCCCGCCCTGCCCGCGAGGCGTTTGGCGCGCCGCCCCCCGCGGTCGCGCGCGGGGCTGCGCCGCGAGAGCGGTCGGGAGCTCTGAGACGGGGGTCAAAATGCAGACGGGGGTCAGCCAGCGCGCTGGATCTTGCAGGATCCTGCAGAGCGAGGGGTGCACTTTCCTGGGCTTGCGCGCAGGATGTCGCAGGATCCTGCAGGATCTTGCAGGGTCCTGCAGAGCCTGACGGACCCGGGTTCGGACTGACCCGGGTCAGTAGATCCCCGACGCGGGAGATCAGCTCAGGGCAGGGCAGGTTAGGGCAGCTCAGGTCCAGGAGAGTTCCTCCGTGAGAAAGCATCCAGCCCGGTCCAATGGATGAGGAGGAGGAGGAGGAGGAGGAGGAGGAGAAAGAGGTGGTGGAGGAGGAGGAGGAGGAGAAGGAGGAGGACCAATGTAAACCCAAGAGGCATCAACGATGTTGGAATAAACCCGCCTCGTTGGAAGACAACTGTTTGAAGACACTGGAGCATGCCAAAACATTGTTCTCGGGATTCCAACGCTGCGGATCAACCTGACTGTTGCGTCTTGACGATTATGAATCGTGCCAGAACGCCATTCCTGGGACTTGAACGTCGCGAACCAACATACATTGTGCATCCCCATAAGTCTGAATCCTTCCAACACACCATTTTTGGTACGCTGATCATGGGAATACGTGAAAACTCTTGCAACTTTTAACACGAACGTGCATTTTGAAAAGGAGCCGCCCTCAATCCGTGAAGCTCATGCACATGTCTAGGACGAATGTGCGCGGCGCTAAGGCGAGAGCCACGTTTTGAAAAGGAGCCGCCCTCAATCCGTGAATCTCTTGCGAATTTCTACGACGAATGTGCGCGGCGCCGCGGCGCCAAGGCGAGGGCCACCTTTTGAAAACCACTCGCCCCCAATCCGTGAAAACTCTTGCACATTTTTAAGACGAGTGTTCGCGAGGGCCACATTTTGAAAAGAAGGAGCCGCCCTCAATCCGTGAACATCTTGCAAATTCATGAAAAACGAATGTGCGCGGTGCTAAGGCGAGAGCCATATTTTGAAAACGACGCGCCCTCAATCCGTGAAGCTCTGGTCAATTTTTACGACGAATTTGCGCGGCGCTAAGACGAGAGCCACATTTTGAAAACGACCCGCCCTCCATCTGTGAATCTGCTGCCAGCTTTAGAATCGTACATGTTGAGGAATTCTCAGGCGAAGCGCCTGGCTCGCCCTAAAAGCTGGCCTCGGGGTGCGACATGGAGAGGTTATTTCTAAGCAGAAGGAATGGAGCGAGGGGGAGCAGGACGAAGTGGTAGAAGGACGAGGATGACTCTGTGTCCGTCTCACCCTCCTCATCTTCCTCCCCCTCCCCCGTCTCGCCCTCCTCCTCGTCCTCCTCCCCGCCCCCCTCCCGCCCTTGTTTCCTCCTCCCGGAGGGGGAGCCCTCCCCTCTCCTCGGCCGAAGGCACTTCGGCTCCCGGGCTCCCAGCGGCGCGCACGACGGGCGCTTCGAGTGTGAGGCCGCTGGGTCCGGGGGTCGTCGAGCGGGGGCCGTTGTCGCCGTCGCCATCGCCGTCGTCGTGCGACCTTTTTGAGCAGGATCGGACTGCAGACTCGGACTTTCCACTCTTGCCAGTGCGATTCCCCTTGCCCCCCTCCGTTGTCTATCCACGCACGGGCGCAGCTGGCGTCGGTGGGGGGTTGGGGGGACGCGCGGCACCCGCGAGCAGGAAGCGCACGGTGGTGGTGTGGACAGGTGGGGTTCGCACAGGTGGGCGGAAGGTCGGTCGCTGATTCGTGCGCGCTGGGCTGGCCTTGAGTTGCCAACGATGTGGCATGAACGTCGCAGATTCTACAACATCATCCCGAATGCCAGATGCGCTGGCCCTTTTGGCTCCTCCCCCTCCCCCTCCCTCCTCTCCTCCGGCTCCGTGAGCTGGCGCAGGGTCGGCATTGTGGACGTCGGCAGTGTTGAGTGGAAATGGGAGGCCTCCTCCTCCTCCTCCTCCTCCTGGAAGTTGGGGCGAAGACGGCGGCAGCGGTCAGGTTGCAGTGACCATTCCTCGTGAAATAGAATATTCGAACTGCAGTCGGTGGAATCTTGTGACTGGCGCATCCTTAGTCATCGTGCTCCTCTTCCTCCTCCGTGCCCTGCCCCTCCTTATCCTCTTCGTCATCCTTCTCGTCTGCGCCCTCCTCAGCCTCTGCCCCTCGTGTGTGGACACGCCGGTCGTTGAAAGTGGGTGTTTCTGTTTTCCCAGAGCCCCATCTGCTTCAGGCGCCTTCCTACTTCAAGAATCGATCTGATTTTGCTGTGCTTTGTTTTGTCTGGGAGGGCCTGAGCCTACTTCACATTTTTGCCTGCTTCTTCCCACCGATGTGTACCTACTCTCCTGCTCCTGGCCCGCCTCCCGCGGCCGCAAAGGCCACAGCTCCCCTGGTCCCAGACCCCCGGCTTCGTGAGTCTTGGGCTTACGCCACACCGCCGACCCCTTGGGGAACGGGCGGTCGTGGTATGTTGCCTCTGAGGGCCTCCTGGGCACCTTCCGGGGGCTTCTTGGTGCCCTTCTGGGCGCTGCACGGGGGCCTATGGGGGGCCTCTTGGAGCTTCTTGGAGGCCGTCTGTGGGGCTATGTGGGGGCCCTGTTTGTATGTTAAGGGTCCTTCTTGGAAGCCTCTGGGGTCGTCTGGGGGGATCTTGGGAGCCTCTTGGGCCGTCGTGGAGTGTCCGGAAACCGAAAAGGCGAGAACGCTAAAATCTTTCCAAGACGGATTGGCAATCAATGAATTTTGCCTCGTGAGGCCCTCTCGGGAGGGCTCTAGGAGGTCTCTGAGGGCGTTTTGGGGACGTCTCGGGCCGTCTGGAGACTACATGGCCGTCCTGGAGGAGCTGTCGGCGACTGGGGGCCCTCGCGGACTGTCCTCGGGGCCCTCTTGAGGCCCTCTGGGCTCGTCGTGGGGGCCTCTGCCCTCCCGTGATGCGTTGGGGCTGGGCCCGTGGGTTCTGGGCGGACCCCCTCCCACCAAATCGACCGGACCAGGGGCGGGGGAGGGTTAGATGCTCGTTTTGGGGACCTTCCTGGAGCCCACCTAACGGATCTGTTCGACCCCAGTTCGACTCAAGTTCGACTCAATTTTGACTCAGGTTCGACTCAGGTTCGACTCAGGGTCGACCCAAATCGACGGACGTTCGACGCAGCTTCGACGCACGAGTGGAGCGAGTGGCTCCAGGAAGGTCCCCAGAATGAGCATCCAAGGAGGGGTGATCATCCCACACGCTGAGGACACTCCAAGGGGGTCGGGGGATTTTGTCACCACGTTCACATTGCAGTGTTTTTGTTGCTTTGCTGAGAGGGATGATGGACCTGCTCACACGGGGTAATATGATGCCCCCTGCCGTCGTGTAACAGACCAACACGCAGCGAGGGCGGGACGCCCGAAGATGATCCACGCCATGTCACAAACTGCTCTTAGTCTTGTAATTATCGTGATGACCGGGATGGTTGGGTTGCTTGTCTTCGACTCGGGCCGACCGTCGGTCGAATGGGTGGGTGTCTATGAATACGGAGCAGGGTGCATCATTTTCCGAAGGGGCAGAGCAGAAGTGGTTTGGAGAAAGGCAGGCTCGCCTAACCCAACGACGCCCAGATGACTGGTGGAATGTTGTTTGCGGGCGTAGTTGTTGGTTTCGTGTAGGCCTCGAGAGGGCATTCGTCGCAGGAGCTCAACTTGTTTTGAAAGTTTGGTCGGGATGATGCTCAGGAAAAGCTTGTTGGGGAGGTGGTTGAAGGGGACATGGAGTGGGACCCATCTGATGGGACGAGAGCTGAGTGCCCGTGGACTGGTCTTTGGCGATGTCGATGAGATTAGGAATGTCGGGCGTGTGTCGAAGTACCAGAAGGATGATTGTCGAATGGCCTTCGGAACATCCCGCCACCGTGCCTGGGCTGCGGGCCTGAGGCCACGCGGATGGCAGACGGGGTCTCGTGGGAGGCGTCTCGGGGGCGCTCGGGAAACAGTTTCTGAGCCGCTGGGGAGCCTCCAGGAGGCCTCTCGGGAGCTTTTCTCGGGCCTCACGGAGCTCCCTGGGATCGTGTTCGGGGCTTCTTGATTGGGGCAGCCGGGGGGGCGGTCTGGTGTCGAAGGCTCGACATGTTTGTGCGGTCTCCCCCTCTGGGGCCCCTCTTGGGGCTGTCTTGGAGCCTCCCTGGGCCGTCCTGGGGGCTTCTTCATCGGCATTGGGCCCTCGTGGGCCATCTGGGAGCCCTCTTAGGGGCCTCTTGGGCCGTCTTGGGGCGATCCAGGGGCCTTCTTGGGCTGTCTTGGACGTCGTGAACGTACAAATGGCGAGCGTGCTGAACATGCACGCTTTGCAAACGGAGATAGTGTGTTTTTGGCTCTTTGAGGCCGTCTTGGGACGCCTCGTGAGTGCTTCTTGGGGCGTCTCGGGGGCCTCTTGGGCCGTTTGGAGGCCAGAGTGGGCGTTTTCCCTCGATCTTTCGGCGGCTTGTTGCCCTCTTGGACCGTCCAAAAGGCCTCTTGGTGCCTTCTTGGGAGTTTCTTGTTTGTTTGTTTGTTTGTTTGTTTGTTTGTTTGTTTGTTGTTTGTTTGTATGTTTGTTTGTTTGTGTGTTTGTTTGTTTGTTTGCTTCTTGAGGGGGCTTGGGGCCCTGTGTCTGAGAGCCCTCGTGGTGGCCTCGTGGGCCGTCTTGGGGCGACCCAGTAGGCTTCTTGGGTTGTCTTGGACGGTGTGATCGCAGAAGAGGCGAATGTGCTAAAAATGCTGGCTTTTAAATGGAGATAGGGCGATTTTTGCTCTTTGAGGCCGTCATGGGGTGCCTCTTAAGGGGTTCTTGGGGCGTCTTGGGGGCCTCTGGTGCCGTCTGGAGGCCAGAGTGGGCGTTTTCCCTCGATCTTTCGGCGGCTCGTTGCCCTCTTGGACCGTCCAGGGGGCCTCTTGGTGCCCTCTTGGCCTGTTCGTTTTGGTTTTTGGAGCGGCCTTGGGGCCTCTTGGGTCGGCCGAGAGCTCTTTTGGGGGCCTCTTGGGCCGTCTTGGAGTGACCCAGGAGGCTTCCTGGGCTGTCTTGGACGTTGTGATCTCAGAAGAGGTGAGTGTGCTAATCATGCGGGTTTTGAAATCGAGACATGGCGTTTTTTGCTCTTTGCGGTAGTGTTGGGACACATCTTGAGGGCTTCTTGGAGCGTCTGTGGGGCCTCTTGGGCCGTCTGGTGGCCAGCTGGTGCTCTCTGGGCCGTTTTTTTGACCAGTCGTGGGGCCCTGTGGCTGAGAGCTCACATGGGGGCCTCGTGGGCCGTCTTGGGGCGACCCAGGACGTTTTTGGGCTGTCGTGGACGGTGTGATCGCAGAAGAGGCGAATGTGCTGAAAATGCAGGTTTTGAAATGGAGATAGGGCGATTTTTGCTCTCTGAGGCCGTGATGGGGTGCCTCTTGAGGGGTTCTTGGGGCGTCTTGGGGGCCTCTGGTGCCGTCTGGAGGCCAGAGTGGGCGTTTTCCCTCGATCTTTCGGCGGCTCGTTGCCCTCTTGGACCGTCCAGGGGGCCTCTTGGTGCCCTCTTGGTTGGATTCGGGGCCCTCTGCCCCCCCTTGGTGCGTTCGAACGGTTCCCGGGAGATCCCCCCCTCCAAATCGACCGGACCGGGCTCCCGGGGGAGGGGTTTGGGGAGGGGGAAACGCTTCACACGCCGATGAATCCCAAGGGGTCGGCGGATTTTTTTACGACGTGGCCCCCCGGATCTTTTGGCTTGGCCTGGGAGGGACGATCACCGATCTTGGGCCCAGGGTAGGCCTGGCCAGGGGCGGTGGATACGGTCGGACCGAGGTGTAAGATCGAGGTCGCTTCGGGTAGGGTACCCCAGTGTTCGTCGTGTTGTCGTGCTTGCTGGATGTTCTTGTGGAACCTAGGCGAGGGTGCCCTCGATTTTTGTTGGCCAACGGAGGGTCTCATGTTTTGGGAGGATGTTCTTCTGTCCTGGGTCCGCGAAGATCATCGCGCTTCGCGCGTCGCGGCCAGTGCCGACGCAGCCGCCCTCCTCGAG